CTTTTTTGTCGGTCGTGGGGCTTGAACTCTGGGCCTGGGCGCTGTCCCTCAGCTCTTCAGTTCAAGACTAGTGCCCTACCACTTGAACCACAGCACCACTTCTGGCTTTTTCTGCTTATGTGGTGCTGAGGAATCGAACCCAGGGTCTCATGCATGCAAGGCAAGCGCTCTACTGCTGAGCCACCTTCCCAGCCCCAATGACAATTTTAATTTTTGTTTAGACTTACAAAACTTAGGAAAGCCTTAGTATATTTTCCTTTATAAGGATTTTATTTTCTTAAAAGCTTCAATTTTCTTGAATTTTCTGTGACCTATTAACTGTGATTGGTTTAGATTACAAAAGCACAGTGGGTGACAGACAACAGGTCAGGGTCATGAACTGCATTTCAGAAAGGTAGAAGGAAGTGCGCTCAGTGTTTACTGTGCCAGTGTTGGTAATGTCCTGCCAGATTTAAACATGACAGATGTGGACTTTTTTTTTTAACTATGTATAGTAAGTAGCTATTCTGTGTTCACAAATTTAAGAACAACTGTGGTCCATATTGTTTTGTATATTCAGAACTGTTAGTTTCAAACTAATGAACGAAGTTTAGCATCCAGGTAATTTTTATCTAAAAGTAGTCATTAGATTATTAATATCTTTACTAGTTTTCAAAATCTTCACTTTTTTTTTGCCAATCCTGGGCACTGTCCCTGAGCTTCTTTTTCTCGAGGCTAATACTGTGCCATGTGAGCCACAGCTCCACTTGTGGCTTTTTGAGTGGTTTACTGGAGATAAGAGTCTCATGGACTTTCCTGCCCAAGCTGGCTTCCAACCACAATCCTCAGATCTCAGCCTCCTGATTAGCTAGGATGACAGGCGTGAGCCACCGGCGCCCGGCTCTTTGCTTTGTTTTAACACCTTATTTTTTTTTAATGTGTTCTTCTGTTATCTGTTGTATGTACCCAGTCAGGTACAGTTGAGTGGTGTAAAGCAGCATTTTCTCAGTTTCTCTGTGTAGGGCACTCAGGAATGGCTCTGGGGTGGCCCTGGGAAGGCTGAAGCCCCATGGGGCTCATACATAGCACAGCTACTGGCAGAACTGCCATGTGCACGAGGCTAGCCGCTGCTCCCAGAGCTGTGCTCTGCTCATGTCCAGCATGCCAAAGCAGGAGGCCCTGGATCCTCACGCCCGCCGGGAGGCTGCTCAGAGATGAGGTCCCACAGTAGGTGACGCAGGAGAGCAAAGCAGAAACAAGGCTTCTTGTCGGGTGCTAGAAATCACACTGGGTGTGCTGTGGGAGAGCAGCCTTGCTTCCAGGGTGGAGGAGGCTACCCAAGGGGATGACACACGGTGGGAGGAGGTCCCCAGGGGCCATTTTGTAGCATGGCTACTACAATCAGGTTTCTAATGAAACTAAAATGCGTCTCTCATAGGCTGGGAATGTGGCTTAGTGGTAGAGTATTTGCCTTACATGCATGAAGCTCTGGGTTCGATTCCTCAGAACAGAAAAAGCCAGAAGTGATACTGTGGCTCAAGTGGTAGAGTGCTATCTCTGAGCACAGAGAGGCTCAGTGACAGAGCAGATGCAGCTGTTAAACTTGGGCTTTTGGCAACAGGGTTGTTTGGTGGCCAGTAAGTACTCAGAGTGTGAGGAGTATGTTGCTCACAGTAGTAGAGAAAGCTAACGCTGCATAAATGTACCGGTAAGTACTCAGAGGATGAGTATGATGAAGTATGATGAGTATAATGTCCATAGTAGAGAAAGCGAACCGGTAACTACTTACTGTATGGCTAGAACAGTACTGTGTTTACAACTACAGTGTGACAGTTTACCCCAAGAACAAGTAAATCCTAAGGTTTCCATTCAAACATGAAATGAGCTGAGCTTTTAGTGACCCTTACTCAGTGGGACATCCATGCCAAGCTTGCTTGCTTCAAAAGGAAACGTAAAGCATTTTTGAAGGAAATTATCCAACACCCCCTCCACCCCCCTCTTTAAAACGAGCCTCTTTTCCCCATGTGCCTGCAGTGAGGAAGCCGAGGCCTTGGCCAAGAGGCTCAAGTTGAGATTCTACAGAACCTCGGTAAAGGAAGACCTGAACGTGGCAGAAGGTAAGCGTGCCTTTCCAACCTCCCCAAATGTGTGCCTCTGTGCAGTTAGGAGTTTTGCTTGTCTTCGTTTCTGCAGTCATACTCCCCTCTATGTTTCTGTAGCTCTTCAGCATGATTGGATTGTTTCAGCATTCCTTGGTAGTCAATAAAGAGGTAGTGACAATGACATTAACTTGTTGAAGGGATTAGAGGAATATTGGGACTTCTCAATTCAGAAGCATCATTTATTGGATTGCAACTAGTAGTCACTTGAGTGTTTATTTTAGCTAATCTAGGTAGAGACTTTTTCAAGAATGAATCAATTTAGTGTTGCTAAATGGTAATCACTATGCTAACAATGTCTACAAATATAATTTCCTTTCCTTACTAATTAAATACTACTTAGTACTTCTCAGGTGATTGCTGAAATAAATTTTGAAGTTTAATTTTTAAGTAGGGTTAGTACAGATAGTGTAAGTAATATGAAATAATGTTACATTTACCATAGTCAAATTGACCTTGTGTTTATTCTAGTTTTTAAATATTTGGCTGAGAAATACCTTCAAAAACTCAAACAAGTCCCTGAGGACCCAGAACTGATGCATTCAAGTAGTAACAAAATTGGTGAGTACAAGAACAAGTGCTACCTGTTCTCATTATTATTTTACTTTTTTATAGTGTACATTTCTCTAAGAAATATGGTTTATGATTTTTAAACTTAGTTGTATCAGTATTTCAAGTGTTTTCTTACACTGAATTTCCTACATTCGTTAGTTGCCGTGGACTCTTGGGGGGGAAAGGGGAATGGAGAAATAGAGAGGGGAGAAGGGGGAGAGAGAGAAAGAGGAGGAGAGGGGAGGTGGGATTGAGGGGGAGAGGGGAGGAGGGAGAGAGGGGGAGAGGGGAGG